CCTCACCCCCCCATCCCCATCCCCACCACCGCCCACGGTTGCGTGTCCCGCGTGGGCTCCTCTCCACCCGTGTCCCCTCCAAACCCTCTTTGCCACGGACAGGAGGTTTCAGGCACAGCTTTGCATCACCCAAAGCACCTCCTTCCCCTCTCCAATATCTACCAGAGCTTTGGGGAACCCGTGACACCCCACTTGCATGACCCTATAACCAAGCCCAGAGCGGGAGGAGCTCCCCCAGTACCACCAGTACTCTTGGGTATATTTAAATATCTCAGCCAGGAGAGGGACATCCATAATTTTCCCTTAGCGCAGTGGCCGGTGTTTCTCCTCCTGTTTCCCACCCCCTCCGCCATCCACGTATTAATCAGTTGAAAACTGCGGAGAAGATGATGATGGATTCAGGAGGGCTTCGTGGTTTTACCGGGCAAGGCTGGAATTTAAACTAAAGGAGCTGGGAACCTCCTTCTCTTCGGGGTTGGGAGCCTCTCGGAGAAGGGATTCTGCTCCTGGGGGTGTGGGTCAAGCGTGGAGGGGTCACCTTGTAAGCAGGAGCAGGTTTTGGGGCCTCTGCAGAGCAAGTGATTTCCCCTCTTGCAGGGATTTTCGTCGCTGGGGAGGGGAACCAAGCACATCCATGGATGGACGGATGGATGGATGGATGGATAGGTAGATGGATGCATGGATGCATGGAGGGATCGATAGATGCATGCATGGATGGATGGATGAGCAGATGCATGGATGCATGGATGGGCAGATGCATGGATGGATGGATGGATGAGGCCGGATGGTGGAAGGATGATCCCTCTTCTCAGAAGTGAGCACTCCCGGAGAAACCAACCCCAGGAGCCCCTTCGGGGCAGCGCAGCCTCTTGGAGCAGCTGAGATGCTTTCCCCCCGTCTCGCTCCCAGGGCACAAAGCAGCTTTGAGTTGGGAAGGGCAGACAGATGGTTGAAAACAGTTATTTTTTGGTCATTCCAGTAAGGTTTGGAGCACCAGGCTCCATCTCTGCTATTAAATCACCCGGAGACAGAGCTGGGCTCCCCATCGCTTTGACTTATAGGGTCTGGTTGCCCAGATTCGTGCCCTGTCTGCCTGAGGAGCACTCGTGAAACGGGGAGCAGATATTTTGGGGACCTTTTCCCTTGACTCAACCATGGTGGCAGCTCAGCTCAACTCCAAGCCCTGCTCACGGCCTGGAGCAGCTTTGAGGGGACCACAGTGGGACCGTCACCTCCTTAGACCTGTACCGTGGTGGCATCAGGGTGACAGTACCGCTCTCTGCTGTCTTTCCAGGAATGAAATTTTGGGGCAGGTGACTTGGCAGAGCATCCCAGGCCACACACCCAGGCTGTGTCCTTGCTGAGGTTCTCCCAGCCCAGGTCCAGCTCCATCCATGGCTCCTCCAGCGCCCGCTAATGGTGGGGACACGCAGGACACCCCGTTGGAGGTCCCCTATGGTGGCTTTCCCTGCTGAGCCTCCTCTCCCACCACCACCTCAGCTCATCGCTCCCCCTGGTCCCTCCAGCAGCTTTGCAGACTGCTCCAGGGATGGGGTCCACAGGAGACACGAGTACAAGGAGGATGGGGTGGCTGTCCCATGGCATCGTCCCCCTCGTCGCGTGGTGCTTCGTCACCTTCCAGGCGGGTAAGGACAGCTTTGGCTTTCCCTGGGGTACCCGAATTTCCTTCGCTTGAGCCCTGCCGTCCCATGGGTGCCACCCATTGGGGCGCAGAGGGGCGCGGGGTGTAAATTTGGGGAGAGGGGAGCGGAAAATGAGGGGGCTCTGGTCCATGAGCATAGAAAACCAGTTCTCTCCCAGTTTACCCCCATGCAGTTCTGTCCTCAGTCTCCACGCTGGCGTGGTATCCTCCACCACGCGCCGTTCCACGGCAGGGTTCGTGTCTTTGCAGAGCACCTTGATGCTACCCAGATGCTTGGTTGGGGGTGGTCTGCTTGGGGTCATCCCCCCCCCCCAGGGGATGTACCTCTGGGACCCCAAATCCCTCCTGGGCAAGCTAGTGATGTCAGAGGTGTGGAAAAAACCCAGATTTTGCTCCCACCCCCCATCAACGCAAGGAGCTGGGCATCTTGCTTGTCCCCGCACTTGGGACCTGCCCTCCCCAACGCCTCTAAGACCCTCGATGCTGCTCAGCGCATCGTCCCTGCCCAAAGTACAACAGCCGGGGTCCCTCGCTGGGCTTGTCCGCCTGGCGGGGAGAGCTTGCACGGGGGCGTGGGGCATGCTGTGGGGCTGTACTCCCATCCTTCTTCAGGGCAGAGCCACCCCTACGACGGCTCTTTGGTTGCACATCACTGTGCAAAGCTCTCCCTCCATCCATCCCTCTCTCCTTTCATCCCTCCCTCCCTCCCGCGGCCTCCCTCCACTTGCTGGTGGAAATTTATGGGGCTCTGCAGTGAGCAAGGACGGGCGAGCGATGCACCGCAAGCTGACGGCACCGAAGACCAGTGCCGACAATTTCTAGGCAGAGCAAAGAGCGCTGTGCTCGTCCCAGCCCAGCCCGAGGGATGGTCTCTGCGCAGCCTGCAGCCGTCCCAAGGACTGGGTCAGCATCCACCTTGCAAAACTGAACCAGTTAGCGCCAGTGAGAGCGGCTGGAGGGGACTGGGAGAGGAACCTCAGCCACCCAAGAGTGGGATTCTCTCGGCCAGCGTTGCAAGGTTGACCTTGTTTTTTTTCCCCGGGAAGACCGTGGGGCAGCCTTGAGGGGGCTCATTCCCCTCTCCCCACCCCCGGGTGGGGTTTAGCATCCCTCCCTGCTGCAGCAGAGAGGGGGTTTGCCCAGAACGGGGCCCCCATTCCAGTGGGGTTCCCTCTCTGGGGCGAAGGCAGGAGCGTGCCAAGGAGGGCACAGCATTTGGGGTGGAAAAGCCCTGCCCGGGGGGGCTTGGTGGCACCTCCATGGTGCTGTTCCTCAGAGGGATGCTGCCAAAGGAGGAGGTGGAAGGCGGGGGTCAGCAAACTCTCCCCCAGCCAATCCCCATCCCTGTGTCCCC